AGGCTGGGTTTAGGATGAGAGAGAAATGCTAGATTTACGAGCGAGGGAGAGAGAGGAAGGCAAACGAGAGAGAGAGAGAGAGAGAGAGAGAGAGGGAGTAGTGTCCGAACTTCCGTTTGTGTTTTTTTTCTCTGCTTGTCCGAACCCGAAGAGAAGATGGCAGGGAACCACTTGTAAATAGCCGCCTTTCTTCTTCTTCTTCAGCTTTGCACATGGGTCCCCTACCCACAAAAATCCATTTTTTTTCTCTATTGTTGCTAGTGGGGACTTTGAATTTTGTTAGAAATTGACCCACGCCACGCCATGCCAAGCCATGCATGGTGGATTTACATGCATCTTGGTTATTAACTTGGAATCGCATAGAAAATATTACTTAAATGATTCAACTGTGTCGCCGGGGTTCTCGAGACATGCTCTTATGCTCGTGCGAGATGATGCCGAGTTCTTTTAACTTATCGACTCGCATTCCTTGTGATCTACGAGCAGTTCTTGCACCATTTTCTCATAGCCGATGCTATGGAATTGAGCATCTTGGCCCTAGTTTGCGCGTCCGATTCTGCCGTTGCCATGCACGATTCCCCATCTTGGCGAATTAAATGGAGAAACTGGTGAGCAAGAGAGTAATTAAATGGTGTCTACTACTGCTACTAGACTGGATCCGCGCGGCATCATGTTATCGTCAAGGCTCGCCCCCACGCACCGCTGCGTTCACTCGGTGTCGTACACTGTTCTTGGCTCAACTCCGAGTTTTTTGAAATGGAAGAAGGGGCGGCACACATGGTAGGGAGGATGCCTCAAGGGAAGGGGCAAGGGGATGAGGATGGGAGGTGTCGTGTCGAAACAAAAGCGGAAGAAGGAGAAGGACGGAGGAAGGGAGCGGGTGAGGACAGACCATTTGTACGGATTCCGGATGTGGAGATCCTTATCCCAAAAAACTTATTCCCTATTTGTTATTTACTTTGGAGCTTATCCCATTTGGTGATTGTTCTTTAATCCATATATCCTTTTGCATCAAATATCCCAACTTAAATAGGTTAGGGTCCCATCAATCTACCATCAGCTCTAATACTTATTTGTTGGGAGCAAAGCAGAAGCTCGATACCAAGAAATCACCAAGAGAGAGCCCAAGTCCAAACATGCTTACACATCAAATTGAACCCACCTTCACTCAAAAGCTGAAACCAATAAGTTATAGAACAATTAAGATATATTAATTATTTTACACCACACCAATTCTCTAATGTAAGATTTCTCTAACATATCTTATTCGTGCATCCGAACAATCTCCCCATCATACATGAGCTCAATGTTAGATTTGCTCACACCTTATCCAAATATTTTTCCACATCAAGATTTCTCAACTTGAATAGAATGGGAGCCCATCAATCTAGCCCTAATACCAATTCGTTGAGAGCGAAACAAAAGCTCAATACCTTGCGCCTGAGAAAATCAAGAGAGAGCTCAAGTCCGAAAATGTTAACATATCAAGTTGAACCAACCTTCACTCAAAAACTTAAGTCAATAAGTAATGAGCTGACTAAAATATATTAACTGCTCTTACACCACATCAATTCTTCGATAATGAATTTCTCTAACATAACTTATATGTGCATTCTAACAATCTCCCCCTCTGATGTAAGCTCAATGTTAATTCCGGTCTCCCTTAATCCAAATATCTTTCTACATCAAGATATCTCAATTTGAATAGATTAGGGGCCCATCAATCCACCATTGCCTCTAACACCAATTCGTTAATGTCGCAACCTACCCGTCCCGATCGGTTAGGCTAAGAGGTATTTGTCGATAGATACGAAAATCGATTGATTCGTTTGAAAGACGAACCAAATGGTTCATTAATCCAAGGACCGAGGCACTCCCAAGCCTCATACCTCATGCGACGAGAATTATCTAAACTATGCATTCCATTGGAGTCGCCACTAGCCATGATCAAGGGTTGGCTAGAAACCCTGATCGAGACGCGGGAGTGTCGTCTCGATACGTGCGAAAATCAAAGATTCTAAAATTCGGGGACTTGATTACACTGGCGATCTAACTATTGCCCTTTCGGTACCTAAACTTGAATGTTTACGAACTAACGTGCCGGGCAGCCTATCGAAAAAGCTAATATTCCACCTAACCGTTCTAAAAATAGAAGATAACAATCAATATATTAAAAGTGCGCAACCAGATAATCATAAAGAAAACAAGCAACCAGCGACCTAGCATAGTCTCTAAAAAAAGAAAAGGCAATCAAAAGCCCTAAAGTAAAGCCCTCATGGCTTGTTTGATTTTTGGGAAAATTTTCAAAGGTTTTCTCACTAATATCCAGTGAAATTAAGCCAAAAATGATTTCTGAACATTTCCTAATTTTCTGGATTTTTTGGAATTTTTTCTGAATTTTTTAATGTTTTTCAGACTTTTTTTTTATTTTTTAACATTTTCGAATTTTTTGGAATTTTTTTGGAATTTTTAATATTTTAATATATTTTTTTGAATTTTTAAATATTTTTTAACGTTTTTATTAATAAAATAAGGATTCGGACCGGATCCCCTGACCCGATCCGCCCGACACCTGACCCGAAATTCCGACCCTACTCGGGACCCCATTTTCATTTCTTTTCAATTTTTTTCTTTTGATTTTCCCCTTTTTCTTTTTCCTTTTTCTTTTTTCTATTTTTTTATTACTCTTTTTCCCCTTTGTCTTTTCTGGTCTCTTCTCCCACGAGCATTTCTGGTCTTCTCCTTCCAGAATGCTTTCTTCTTCATCTTGTTCTTCACCGAGAGCTCACCGCCAACGTCCTCTTCTTAGTGAATCGCCGGGCGACCCAAGCTCCGAACCAAAATCAGCTTTTTCGACTGGCGTCGATGACGAATCTGCTCGGACCGAACCAAAGTCCCTAAACCAGCACCATCGGCCACTAAATCACTAACGTGGTGACCCACTTTCGTTTCCCGACCACTAGACCTCCGTCCCCAATAACACATGCTAAATCTAAACAAACAAACATACACGCATATGAAACGGGGATAGTGAGCTACCGGTAGCGGCATCAGACCGTGGGCAACGCCAGCGTGGGGAATAGGTCTCCGGTGAAGGACTCGTCCATGGCCGACTCGAACGATGTGTCAACCGCAACAAAACCACACGAACAATAGAGAAAACTCAAAGTCAGTGACGATATTGGAGCAAATTGTCCATAAGTCAAAGCTCTGAAGCATCGGTTTTGGTCGTGGGTCAACCATGATGCATACAGGCTTGAATAACCATATTTCATGACAAATTTGTCTCCTTTCACTAGGAATCGCTCACAATCCCAAAAGACCCAACTCGGCATTTTAAATGCATATTTATCTTTTTGGGACTTTTTGTCGAACAGGTTGTTGGTGACTGAGAAGGCGAGGTACGGATCTGATCTTAGCATTGCTCATGGCCTAGTTTCAACATACAATGTTCAGAGTGACTTCATTCAGTGTCGAACAACTGTAAACCTCCATTGATGGAGCCAAGCAATCACCGAATAGGTTCGGTGCGCCTGGCTCCCGAGAGGCAGGGGAAGGGCGGCGAAAACAGAGTAAGACCAGACCGGGACCTACCTGGTTCGGGGCTGACCGTGATGAAGCGCGGCGGCTTGAGTCTCGATGGGGGCCGATGGCAACTAAGACGGATGACCGGTCAAAGAGGAAAAGATCTCTCTTTTTTGGTTCTCTCGGTTCCCTCTCCTTCGGGTGTTTTTCCCCTTCTCACGTTCAGGCCCTTGTCTTCGGGAATGTTGGGATCTAGGAGTGAGAAGCCGCGACAAGGGTGTTGCCGGCTAGAGGACGTCGAACGGCGACGGTGGTGGTGGTTGTTCGGGCGAGATGAAGGATGAGGGGTTTGCAAGGTTCTTCCTTTTCGGAGACCCCCTCCTCCCCTTCTCTGGATCTCTCTCGAGCTCGCTCACTCTCTCGATTCTCTTTCGGTTTCGGCTCCCCTTCCAGTCTATTCTCTCTGGAAGCTCTTCAAGCTCTCTTCTCTTTTTTTCTTTTTTTTTTCGCTCTCTCTTCCAGCTCCCCCCTGTTCTCCCTCTCGATCTTTTCCCTATGTATGTAGACCCCATTTTCTGTTTTAGTGACATGTACTGCGGCAACCCAAAAAGAGAGAGAGTGTGACCGTCCATTTTTGGGTTTCTTTTGACTTTCTCTGCATTGGACGTCCCACTTTCTTCTTTAGCGATTCACCCTAAAACTCTCCTTTTTTTGTCCTTTCTTGTTTTTTGCTTCTTTTGTGAAAGTGAGGATGGAGATTGACAGAGGGAGAGAGAAGAATCCCTTCCTATTAGCCCATGAAGAGCTCTCCTTTTGTCTTTTCTTTCTTTTTGCTTCTTTTGTGAAAGTGTGAGCGGGGAGTTCCGAGAGGGAGAGAGAAGAGACCCCTTCGTGTCAGCCCAGGAAAGAGATCCCCTTCGTACCAGAGTTCACTTTTTTTTGTCTTTCTCTCTTTTCTTTTTTTTTTCTCTTTTTTTATTATTATCATTTTTTTTATTTTTATAATGATGATTTTTTTTACATAAAATAAAAATAAAATAAAATAAAAAGAAAATATGTTTCACTAAATTCTACTAATGCAAATGCGCCTAACATCTATATGTCATGTAATTTAACGAAAATATTTTGGTTTAGGGGTTAAAAATCAATCCCTAATATTCTATGCAATTAAATCATAAATAACTAGGTAAAATTTATGTGTCAACAGTTAAGAACAAAACGAAAGCCTGATACATTTCACCTAGAAAGATTACCAAGAGAAAGCCTAAGACCGAACCTGTTAACATATCCAATTGAGCTCACATTCACTCAAAAATTTAAGCCGATAAATTATGAACCAACTATAATATATTAACTACTTGAAATGGTTTCAATTCTCTACGTGATATTTCTCCAACACAACTCACTCATGCATGCTAACATTTCATTCGTACAAAACAGCAAACGTTCAACGGGCGAAAACATCAATAACTTCATAGCAAATATATGGCTTTAATTAATACGGCAAATCAATTAATTCTTAAGCCAAAATATATTCTATCTGAGCAAATCAACGGACATTTCATAAGCATAGTCAATAAGATCTAAGATTGGGTCGATGACATGATATTAGCATGCCATGGGCCGTGTTTGGTTGCACATGAAGAGATCTCTCTTTTACAAAGTATATATGGATACAAGCTTTGCACTTTTTACTATGAATCTCCTGACTCTACCTAATGTAGAAAGGAGTATCCTAGTTGGTATATAAAAACTAATCAACTTGCCAGTCCTAGACATATGGATTGCCGAAACAAGTTCATCATCAATAGAGAAAGAAAAAGTTCAAGAAGAGAGGAGAGAAAGTTGCCATGAAGAAAAAGGCAAGAAAGGTGTACTGTTCAGTAACACCATTCACATTAAATTACCTCTCATGAAGCCACTACATTCCATGCCACAACCTGCAAACACCATTAAATGTCCCGCCTTTATTTGTTACTTCATCGAACCCCGCCAACCAAATTTCACAAACAGGCAGAGAGAGAGAGACCATGGCAAATGAAAACCAATGCTCTCCGAAAGGAAGAGCATGGCAACCATCTATAGGTGAAGGGTTGGCGTTCTCTATGGACACTCCTACACACACCCCCGCATTTCATCAGACACCAACATAAGCACGACTTGCATCAGCTTAAGAAAGTAGCCCCCAAAAATGTTAATATTGCAACACGCTACGACGTGGTTAGAACCAAATGTAGTTAACTTACTACTGCTTTTGGTTTGATCACCAGACAAACAAACAAACAAAAAATCTCGGTGGCATGGATGAATACATGCTTGGGTCATTTCCTGCTATTAAGTGTCTCGGTGCAGAGATGCGCTCAAGTTCTTTTGAGTTACATTTAGGGAGATCCTTTCATGCATTCAGCTTGCTTAAACATGGTGGCCTAACTTCTCCTTACACTATATATGTGTGTGCGTGCGTGCAGAATTTCTTATCCACATCAATGCAATGAGGATGCAAGCAAACTACTCACTTGGCAGAAGATCATTAATGACCATAGCCAGAGCAACACAACCAATTAGAACCTGTAAAAGTAACAAAAGCAATCTAAAACAAATCACAACCGACAAAAAGAATACCTAAAAAAGAATGGAACACAATTATACAGGAGACTCTTGCAACAATGCCTTGTCAGCAAGGGGGTCAAGATAGGAGCCCACAACTGAATTTATATTCATCTTCCTAGCCACGTACCCGTCTAGCTGAAATGCCCAAATAAGGAAACAAAACGAGGGGAAGAAAAATAAAGGGGGATTAATAAAGCACCATTTTATTCTTTTATAAATGTGCTTCAGAAGAGAGCGAAGATCAGCAACTAACCCAATCAGTTGCTCCAGAGATAGCCAACCCCACAAATGCGGTAGTATGCATTCATTCACGATCGTCCTGCATAAGGGGTTTTTCCATGGAACACCAAAAGTGAGAGAATTAAACACATTTGAAACAGCGCATTGAGGAAGTAACAAGAACGGTAAACCACGCATAACTTTGCCAGAAATGATATTTTAGACCCTCCTTTCAAACCTTGACATTCTTCACTAAGAACTTTCGTGAAGAACTTTCGTCAATCCAACTACCTAAGGACAATTACTCACATTGGTTATGTCCAAAAGTGTTTCGAAGTAATCACTTGAGATTGCACAATTTGGGGGGAAAATTGTCAAATCAGTCCTAAACCTATTGTACGGCGGCCAATTCAGTCCTAAACCTTTTAATTTTGCCAATTCAGTCCTAAACCTTTCTAATTCTTGCCAATTCAGTCCTTCCGGCCAATTTTGGCCGGCCGGCGATGACGTGGCAATTTTTTATTATTTTTTTAAAATTTTTAATCTTTTTTTTCTTTTTTTTTTCTTTTTTCTTCCTCTGGCCGGTCCGGCGACCGGCGACCGGCGGCCGGCCAGAGGGGAGGGCCGGCGAGGTCGACCTCGCCGGCCTCGCCACTGCTGAGGCGAGGCCGACCTCGCCATCGCGGGTCGCGACGGCGAGGTCGAGCCTCGCCGGATCTGGGCGAGGTTCGACCTCGCCGTCGCGACCCAAGCGACGGATCGGCGAGGCTCGACCTCGCCGTCGCGACCAGCGACGATCGGCGAGGCTCGACCTCGCGTCGCGACCCGGCGAGGGTCGGCCTCGCCGGGCGAGGCGAGGCCGAGCCGCGGCGAGCCGACCTCGCCGTCGCCGGGTCGCGACGGCGAGGTCGAACCTCGCCCGGATCCGGCGAGGCTCGACCTCGCCGCCGCGTGGCGAGGTTCGACCTCGCCGTCGCGACCCGAGGCGACGGCGAGGTCGGCCTCGCCGCGGCCGGGCGGCGAGGCCCAGCCACGGCGAGGCCGACCTCGCCGTCGCTGGGTCGCGACGGCGAGGTCGAGCCTCGCACGCAGATCTGGCGAGGCTCGACCTCGCCGTCGCTACCCGGCGACGGCGAGGTCGGCCTCGCCTCGGCAGCGCGAGCCGGCGAGGTCGACCTCGCCGGCCCTCCCCGGCCGCCGGCCGCCGGTCGCCGGACCGGCCAGAGGAAGAAAAAAGAAAAAAAAACAGAAAAAATGAAAAAAAAAAAAAAAAAAAAAGATTAAAAATTTTAAAAAAATAATAATAATAAATTGCCACGTCAGTGTTGGCCGGACGGCCGGCCAAAATTGGTTGGAAGGACTAAATTGGCAAGAATTAGAAAGGTTTAGGACTGAATTGGCAAAATTAAAAGGTTTAGGACTGAATTGGTCGCCGTACAATAAGTTTAGGACTGATTTGACAATTTTCCCAATGGGGAGGTGAATAATGAAGAGCCAAAAAGATTTAAAAGATGGCACCTCTTGCTTTAATGCCGTGTAGGAATAGTCGACTATTTCCAACTTATTCAGAAGCTTCAAGCTATTAAATGATGGCATGGTTTAATATTTAAATTCTTCTGCCACATGAAATAGAAAATAAATTAAACTGTGCTTGTCTAGTGTTCTTTGTTGTTGCCTACTGGTTTTTTGGACAGGTCGATCCATTTGACTGGCATTCTCAATGAATATCCTTCTTAAAGGAATCATCAGCTCTCTCTCTCTCTCTCTCTCTCTCTCTGACACAAGTTCTCAACATTTTGTTGTGTCCCTCATTTTCACTTGTCATTCATGATTGGAATGTAGAAATCTAGTGAAATCTGATTAGCATGTCAATTAGAAATATAACAAGGTGGCAAACCAATGAAATTTTAGCTACTGATTACCAATATGTATGACGTCGAATAAGTAGACAGTAATCTCACTGAAACATTGTGATGGTAATTATGAGGACTAGCTAATCTTGCATTGTATCTAAGCTTTCTACTGTGGTGCCAAATGTGAACTTGTGCCAATTTTGAGCTATTTTTTCCCTCATTACGTGGTTGCTTCCCTTTTTTTTTTTTGATAACCGTGGTTGCTTCCCTTTGGTCCTGCTGCCGTCCAAATATTTGTTTTTTTTTGGGTGATTGGTTTTTTGAGATTTATATCTGTAGCTTTTTTATTCATTTGCAATGAAACTGCAGTACGAAATCTCATCTTGGTCATGTCTATTGTTTAAGGAATCTATTTATGTCCTAGGTCTGTGAGAAATGCGTTGGAGAAAGAGCAAGCTCCTAATTGATGCAGAGATTGAACTATTGCAACGAAGACATATATGTCACAGCTGTACATGGAAAGGAAGTTCCAAAATCTATCTTAGAAGCATCTGAGACTGCGTTTGACCCAGGCCACCAGATATCTAAACGCTCTAGAAGGATAAATTATGGAAATGCGGTTACTCTGGAAGTTTTTGGCTCCACATCAATATGACAGTTAAAAATGATGATACGGGAATCTCTAGGGGTAGGCTCTCTCAACATGATATGATGGAATAGAATACTAGCAGTTGATATTTCATCCTTCTGTGCTTGCATCTCTGAGGGTGCCTCCATTTTTACCTTTTTAATATCTTAGATACCCAACCATGCATAACAACCATTATAAATTTCAAATGCTGATAATGCTGATGGCTCATGCTTCTTTTTGTTGGAGTAAGTTGAGCTGAAACACATAGGATTATTGGGGCACTCTTTTTCTTGGTAAGAGTTTATTATTTTGAGTTTTAAGACAATTCGTGGAAAGGCTGGCTGACAAAATGGATTTTGTTATACTGTAAAAATCAACTTGCTATTGGTTCTGTTTTGATATTTGTGGAGAAATAATGTTAGTTTAGTTAGTTTTAGCAGCTGATTTATGTGATGAAGTCGAAAAGCTATGGATAACCACTGGCAGTTGCATTTTGTAGTCCTCCCTACTAAATATGAAGATTACATGTGCAGTTTGTGAAAGAAAACCAAAAATTTCACAAAGAGCACACAAAAATAGAAGGGGAATCTTCTACTCTTGCAGATTTTAACATATGTCTGGCGATACACTTTGGGTGAGGGATTCAAAGATCCATGAGGATCAAGATATTGCTGGTTATTACCTTTCTGAGTCTTATAATTAAAGAAATCTATGATAGAGACAGGATTCTCCAAAATACTGCGATTGCCTTTCTGATTGGCGAATGGTACCATATGAATTGTTGGGTTTCTTCTTCTTTGATTTTTGTTTCCATTTTCCTTTAAATCAGTCTTAAAAGTTAGGCCAGATGACAGGATGCGTCAGTTTGTGTGTTGGTAATTCCGTAAGTGAGATTTTTCCTTTTGGCTTGACACTCTAGTGAAAGTTAATTATAATTGTATCTTTTTTCAAAGACATAAGTACACATCACAAGAAAAAAATAAAAAAAGAAAAAGAAAAGAAAGGGAAATCAGGAAAAGGAAATACTGGTAGATGGCTCGCAGATTAGCAGAAAAGTAAGCGAGGAGTTCTTTTTGGCACAACCAGGTGAGAGGGTAAGTGAAATTCTACATCGTTCTCTTTCTGAGAATCTTCATACCAGCATACCTGTCAAAACAATCCAGCAAATTTTCAACCCCTCACAATCATCAATCGTGCAACACTTAAGCATTTGGAAAACATGAAAGATTTACCGTGCAAGCATCAAAAGAGGAGCCCGAGGATTGGTATTGGTGATAGAGTTCATATCGAACCATCAACAACTCAGGGTGTATAAATTCACCGGCAACAGATTCATTAAATTCTGGATTTCTCATCGTGAAAATATGTTTTGGCTTGTTTCTTGGTCCCTTCTTATGGCTAAGATCTGGCTGATGTTTTTATGCCGGAGAAAACTTGCGTTAGCACAAGATTGAACCTTGGTAGCCCCTCCATCAAGTTTGAAGTCCCGTACAAACTTGTATTACCATAGGGTTGAACCTGAGAAGTCACAATAGCAATTTAATGGAAAATTTCTATGTAGCCATACAAGCGTGTAGTGCCAATTTTATGTATGACCTTTTTTTCTTCTCCACATATTTTAAAGATGCACAATTCTCTGTATGCACATGCAAGCATGCACAACCCCCAACCCAATCCCTCTCCTATGCATGTGAACGTCTTTGGTTGTCATTTGGGTATTCGTATTCTTCATTGAGTTCTTTCATTGCAAATTTGGATCTGAAAAACATCTATGGGTTGGGAGGCATTGCTTTGTGCTGCATAGAGCGATATTGTATAATCTTTTGCTCGAGATTGATTACTCCATTCAACGTTAATTTTCTACTAAAGATTGCCAGCATGACGTTTGAAGAGTGAGGTATTTGTGACATCCTGAAATTTGTTCATTTTGGATTTATGAAATGCTTGATTTTATGAACGTACTCGTAGTTAGTTTTCGCCCGGAATTGATCATTCCTAGGATACTAACCAATAGGGAAAGGCTGACTGGAGATCTAAATTCGTACGACTAAGAAAAAATTCGATCGTGAATTGACTTTCGACCATAAAATCGCCGAGGTGACATTTTGAGCCACTGTTGGCCGATCCAAGGATAGTCAGGGGTCAGTTCGCCACTGTCAGAGTAGTGGATCGCGGGTGATACCGCCAGACCACGAAATGAATTGACGAATGATCCTGAACCTATACCGAACAATCGTACCCCTCGGATCTAGTGATTGATCCTCGCGATTTAAATGACAACCGAAGTCGTCGCGAACCGAATAAAATTTCACGTGACTCGATATATTATCGGTCACGGGTCGAATATGCGAATTTCCCCAACGAGCCACCCGTTAGTTTGAGAAACACTCGAGTTGCGTTTAATAAAATTTAATTATTTAATTGAGCCCAAATCGGACACCGGAAAATTAGGAAGTCACAATTAGGCGCTAGGATGACGTTGTGAAGGGATTGTGCAATTTTGGAATGTCCCGATTCCTTCGGAAAAATCCAATTTCGATGAGAAATGAGGAAAGTGACCATTTTACCCCTAAGAGTTTGTAAAGGGCATGCTTTATGGTAGAAGGGCATTTTTGTCATTTTGCTCTAACTTTTTGGATTGGACAATTTTGCCCTTGGAATTTTATGAAATTCCCATAATGCCCTTGGATATTTTTGGTAAGATTCAATCTCGGCCGTCGGTTTCAAGATAAGATCGAATCTGGGCCGTCAATTTGGATTGTAAGAGAGGGGCAAGATGGTAATTTGCCACTTTTGGTCAAAATGTGACTATTTAAGTCCAAGACCCATTCTCTCTCCTCATTTCCTCTCTCTCTCCCTCACGGCAGCCACCCCCCCCCCACCGAAACCTCTCTCTCTCCCTCTTTCCCTCACCGCCGATCGCCCCCTTGGCCGTACGCCGGCGCCACCACTCACCGCCCGCCGCGCCGCCACCTGTACGCCGGCCGCCGTACCACCGCCGCCACCCCAAGCCGTCCTTCTCTCGGTTTTCTCTCTCTCCTCCTCTTGGCCGTGAGCGGGTCGGCCAAGGGAAGCCGTGCCACCGCCGTGCGCCGATCGCCGTCCGCCATGCGCCGATCGCCGTCCGCCGTGCCAAGCCGCGCCATTCGCCGCCGTCCCTGTCAATCAACGCCGCTTGTCGCTCTAGTCGAGGTAGTCTAGGGCTCGGTAAGTCGCCCCCTAAACCCTATTTAGGATATCGGGTATTAACGGACTAGTTTAGACGCGGTTTAGTCGGTTTTAGGGGTTGATTGAGGTGATTATAGGTAGATTAAAGGAGAGCTTGATCTTTCATTGTGTTCTTGGATATCCTTGTGGCTGTTGGATGGTAGTTTGAGCATTGTGGAGTGAGTTTTGTGGGTTGAAATTGGGTGGATATCAACTAAGGCTCGGATCATTGAAATTTGAGGTGAATTTCTGATTCGGAGTTACTGTACCCGTCCGGTTTGCTATTTTTGTGGAGAATTGTGTGGGCCGAATTTGAGGAAGTTTTCTTCATGAAAGTTGCTCCAACATCTTGAAGTATGAAATAATTTAATTTGAGAACTTTTGGAAATCATCGGAGGCCATTCGGAAGTCCATCTTTGGACCGAAATTCGTGTGCTGGAAATACTGTTCCTCCGACCTTCGGGTCTATTCGAATTTTTATACATTTTTCCAGATCCATTTTCAAAATACTTCCTTCACAAAACTTGTTTGGGACATTTTTGACTATGACATATAAAAATTTCAAGGTTTTCTAAAGTTATTTGGGTACTGGATGAGATGCATTTTTATGGTCAGGTGACCTGACCGGACGGGTTGATTTTCATCTGACTTCAAGTGACAAAAAGAGGTGTTTACAGTTGGAACTGGGTTTCGAGTTCTTCACGGAAAATGTTTATCAAGATGTTTTACGCAACATATCCAAAATTTATAATTTTTGGAGTTTTTTTACTATTTATTTTGATGGGATTTAGGTCACTGTGTAAACTGCCCAATTTTACCCAGATTCTTTGGATGTTCATTTTTCTGAGTGAAATGGCGGGGGTGTCGAGGTTGAATGGTTGCTGCCCTCGTGACTGGAATTGATGCTTGAAATTGTGTTGTATGAATTAATTTGAGGATGAAATGAGGATGTTTCGGGGCTGGAGTGAGACTGATTAGGGTGCCGGACGTTGTGGATTGAAATGACGGACATATAGTCCGATTTGGAGACGATTTGTGTCGGTTTGAATGGGCTGTGATGTGGCTGTGTTGTGGTGCCCGTTATGACTTGAATTATGCGTGGAAATGTTGAATTTGTGCCTTTGAACGTGGCTGTGTTTGTGGGCCCGTGAGTGGCCTTGTGTGTTTATTGTACTGAGATTTGATGGATTGAAATATGCTTGACTGTGTGCACGCTTGGGCCGGACTGAATGAATTGTCAAATAGGCCATATCGAATGCTTGGTGAGCATGAAAAATGTATGTGAATTGTTGCGTGCACGGGCCGCGTGTGATTGGTCAACTGAGTGGCAAGTGGTTGTTGAGCATGTGCATGAGCAAGAAAGTGAATGTGGTGTGGCATGTGCGATCGTGGGAATTGTGCCGTCCTGAGGCGTGTACTTCAACGTGGGACAATGCCCGGTATTACCGGAAGACTGCCAGCCTGAGGCGTGTACTTCAACGCGGGTTGTGCAGTAGGTGGTAGATGTTGAGCCTGAGGCGTGTACTGTAACGCGGGCGAGAAACATGGCCTGAGGCGTGTACTGTAACGCGGGCCCTGAAGTGTTGTGAAAATTGATCGCAGTGAACCTAAGGCGTGTACTGTAACGCGGGTCACTGGCGAGTGGTACGGAAAGGAATGTGATGAGGCAAGCGGAAATGCGTGAAACGTGAATTGAGCATGCGTGTGATTGCATATAGTGTGAATATGACTAACGTGCAGGGTGCAAGCAGGATAGGCCAGGTAAGCACAATTGATGTGCCTGTTATGTGATGATGGCGTGTCTGTGGTTGAGTCTTGTGATTGTCTGGAGGTACGTGATAGCCTAGGTGGGGTTTAGGGTGTGTGCTTATTGAGATGTGATCTCATGATTGTTTCAACCAACAATTTCAGAATCCCGGCCTGAGCGATGAACCTTCTGCCGCCGCCGCAGCGTTTTGTAATACCGTTGCATACCGACAATAACGTGGTAGAGTACCCGACAGACGAGCAGGAGGCTCAAGAGGATTCAGACTCGAGTTCTGAGGAGTCGGATTCGGAGTGGACGCCATCTCGAGGGCGTAGGGGCTAGAGTAGGGATTGGGAGTAGGTCTTTTGAGGTGTACCATTTTTGGAAGATAGGATATACAGGCTATCGATCCTTTTGATGTCGATGGTTAATAGTTATAAGTTCGATGTGCTGGTGCATATGTATGGTGGTTATGTAAATTGTGAATATTGTATAAGTTTGGAAGAAAAATGAATATGTATCTTCTCCTTTGTTTACCCCAGTTTTTATTTGTCCGGGTATTAGTGGCTTTCGCTGATCATTTTTAAATCTCTGATAAGTTTAATTGGGTCGGCGATACCCTAAGACATCGCATTAATCGACCAGAGAAGTGTGTCGCGTGCTCGATGGGGTTCGGGGCGTAACAGTATTGCTGCAAGAAACTTGAAAATCAGAATCACGTAATAGTAGTAGTGGCATTTGCACAATACTTATAGAAAGTTAGTGATTATTTATCCCCCAATATTATTTTCTCCTTTATGCCAAAAATTTATTAATTGATAAGAGTATCCCGGATATATGCTTTGTGCTTTACTTCTCACATTGTATTGAATTAGGGAAACTTACTACAATAATCCCCAACTTCGCCTTTAGTTTCAAAGCCTACACTTTGTATTGCCTAGTTTCAAGATCTATACCTATTCCCCTGAATTTGTAAAATATTTACACCCTCTAATTTCTGTATTTCGCTTAAGCTTTTCCTAATTTTCACTCCAAGGTGTAAAGTGTAGGTTTTCCGAAATCTTATGGCACAAAATGTGGGCAATAGAAACTAGAGGATACAAAGCGTCGACCAGGGATTAGTCTTGCTTGATAGCTTTTTCTTTGTATTTCCTTTGAAAATCACTGATTCTATTTTTGTGAGGTGAAGACTTATTTTTCCCTGCATTTGGTTTATAAGTTATGAGCTAGGAGGCTCATTCTTTAGTTACTCACAAATATTATTTTCATTACAGATGACATATCAACTCAGAAAATGGATGTGGAACATGCTGATTCGTCGTACACTTTTGACTACTGATTTCCCTTCATAAGTTTGGAGAAGCTGGCTCTTGTTATATTTGTGGAAACTCTGGTTGTCAAACATGAAGGTCTTCTCCTTGTAAATCTCATTGGTAAATTTACAACGCTATCTTTGCTTAAGGGTTTTTTGTGCGGCTGCTGCTTCGAGTTCATGACATCGGTTTTACGTTTTACCCTAGATGTAGACTAAGTGATATTCTAGTTAGCAATTTGAAACTAGTGAACGATATAAGGCTTTTTTCTAGCTGCAGGACTTCATTATCCTAGGATCTTAATTCTCCTATTGAATTTAGTCAATAGCTAGACTTCTATGGAAGCTATTTGTGCATTTGAATTTCATAAAAAAGATATCTCAATTGAACATTTTTTAGATTATGCAGCTAATTTGTAGAGATGCGTTTTATTTTGGGGAAGATTCGATTGTACATTGATTTTTCTTTTTTGGATGCTTTCAACATGTTTTTAAACTCTGGCAAAAAAAAAAAATTTGTTGTCCCCCTACTAATGCCATTTACCTTGTAGATGTGTGTTGTTTCTGTGAAGAGTGATCTGTACTTTACGTTATTGTTTTTGGATTTTTTGTTAACAAGTTCTCCCACGACATGTTTTAAATACTTAATTGTGGAAAATTTCATATTCTATGCATTGTTTGTCCTGGGTTATGTTTAGTCGCATTGAATGGAAACATTTCTTTGATGGGTGTGGTTAACAAGTATCCGGAGGCATTCGTTTAACAATACCCCTTTTTCTCCCAAATGCTTTCCATTCTAAAACATGTTTGGTCTTCTCTACCGAAGTTGTTTGCAGCTCAGCAAGCCACTAACAGGAACCCTTGAGTCAACATTCTGCAGTTATAAAAGTGGCTATTGCAAATAGTACTTTGTAAAAATAAAATCTTCCACATACGGTGTACGAAAGTATAGCATACGGATTTGTAAGTCCTACAATTTTAATGAGTAAATTGTAAACAAATTAAAAGCAAAAAAATCCCCAAACAGGCTCCTAAGTTTGTTAATTACTATATTGTTCATGACTCGAGAGCATTGGACTTGTATTCCCAATCCAATTAGCAGTTGTACTTTGATTTTGCCTACAGCCTGGGCGTATCTACAAATCCTCTTAAAAATAATCCAATTACCGGTACAGAGCCTGCTAGCTTTGTGAACGTATCAATAGACCATTGATGCTTATCACTCATTTACATTACCACTTTTAAAGAAAGGATGCATTTCACGTGACATTCATATCGTGTGTGGCAATGAAAAGGTCCGTCTCTGATAAATATGCATTGAGAACAATGAAAGTTTAACCTAATGACACTACATACAAATATTTGACGTAATACATGTCTTGGGGAAAAGTGCCAAAAAAATCCTAAACCTTTTGCATTAGTGCCAATTTAGTCCTAAACCTTTTTTTGGTGCCAATTTAGTCCTAAACCTTTTTTTGGTGCCAATTAAGTCTTAAACATTTTAAATTGGTGCCAATTCAGTCCTAAACCTTTTGTTTTTGTGCCAATTTAGTCATTCCGGTCAATTTTGATCGGAATTTGCTGACGTGGACGCTTGCCGGCCGGCGGCCAGTCACCAGCGCCGACGTGGCGCTGACGTGGACAATTTTAATATTTCTTTGAATTTTTATTTTTTTCCTTTTTTTTCCCACTTTTTTTTTGTCCCCCCCCTCCTTCCTCTGGCCGGTCCAGCGACCGGCCAGAGGCCGGCGAGCTCGACCTCGCCGGCCACTGGCGAGGGCGGCGGCTTCGCCCGGCGAGGCTCTTGAGCCCTCGCCGGAGGCCGCGGTGAGGGCGAGCCTCGCCCAGTGACCTCGCCAGATCCGGCGAAGTCGGGCCTCGGCCGACCATGGCGAGGCTCGCCCTCGCCGTGGCCTCCGACGAGGGCTCGAGCCTCGCCCCACCAAGTCGAGGCTCGCCCTCGCCGGGCGAGACCGCCCTTGCCAGTGGCCGGAGAGGTCGAGCTCGCCGGACTGGCGACCAGCCAAAGGAAGGAGGGAGAGACCAAAAAAAAAAAGTGGAAAAAAAAAAAAAAAAAAAAAGGAAAAAAATAAAAATTCAAAAAAATATTAAAATATTATTAAAGTTGTCCACGTCGGCGCCGGTGACCGGCCGCCGGCCGGCAGGCGTCCACGTCGGCAAATTCCGGTCAAAATTGACCGGAAGGACTAAATTGGCACAAAAACAAAAGGTTTAGGACTGAATTGGCACCAATTTAAAAGGTTTAAGACTTAATTGACACCAAAAAAAGGTTTAGGACTAAATTGGCACCAATGCAAAAGGTTTAGGACTAAATTGGCACCAAAAAAAGGTTTAGAACTAAATTGGCACTAATGCAAAAGGTTTAGGACTTTTTTGGCACTTTTCTCACATGTCTTGTGTTAGCAAGCTTATAGAGAAGTGATGTTTATCCGCATCCTTAGTCCTGCCAAAGAAGATTGACCAACGCAGCCCATTCTGAAACTAATTAGACGAAAGTTGTCCACATTCGTGTTCATACAACTCTAAGGGCTAGTTCCATTGCTACCTCCCTTTGATGTTCTCATTTTTCCCAGGAATTTGTAAGAACTAAGGACTGAACTAATACTTGATTGATTCAATATCATACCAGACCTCAGAATCACATCCATCTACTGCCAATACAAGAGATCAAATAGACTTGAAGAACCTTCATTCTGCCAGCTTGACAATACACACATTTCCCTGGATATTTGGATATATAGGACAAGATACTGGAATTCATAAACGTATAAACAAATCAGTTTCGCTGATCCCAACAGATAGAAGAAGAGTTTGTTCTTGTTTGCTTTTATTTATTCCCTTTGACCGGGAATATTTATTTGTGACCAATCATCCTTAAAAGAAGCCCGCTTAGGATAGTTTGACCAGCATTATTGTACTTTTTCTACCTACAAAAGAGCCTCATTGTTCTTCGAAAGCACATATCCGTAATTTCACGGACAATAGGCAGATAAGCCCATTTGGCTATTTCACCTGTAAATATTCACAAGCAGGCAGATAAGCCTGGTGCGGCATTAGTTCCGATCAAGTTGCCTCTTGCAATTCTCTCGCAATCAATATAACTCTGACAAAATCTACAAAAAAAGACATTAGCCATACCCACCCCTCCCTCTCTGTGAGTTTGACATGGAAATGATCACTCCTTGACACTTCCTTACCTCCAATTTTCACCAAGGGGTCATTTGAACTTCTGCCATTATCAAAATTACACACCATATAATTACACACCATATATTTCTGTCTTTGTCTGGCTCAGTCAATTAGCTTCCAAAGTTTCCTTCCAAATTCAAGTTTCTGGTAAACCACAGCTTGGGTTTCATCTGCCACCACTATGTCATCTGCCAAATCTTTCTCATGGTTTCATGGTATGCCTCATTAGCTTAATCCCTCTGTTGTTGGCATGATTCTGAATGTCATCTTTGTTCTTGTAGATAGGCACAGGGTACTTTTTCTTCATTCATCCAGCTTTTTAATTGATCTTAAAATTTTATTGAGAACGGTTGCAAGCCAAGATACCCAATCTCTCCCATAACCTTCCATACTTCTATTGGTATGCAGTAAAGGCCCACTGCTTTTCCATTCTTCATCTTCTTCAAAGCTCTAATAGACAATTAAAAACCTGTTTACTCATTCCTAACAGTAAGCAAAGACAAACATTATCTTCAAGAACAAAGAAACATACAAAAAGCGGACAGCAGGAACTAAAAAACCGAAAGAAGGGAGACAAAGATGTTGCAAAGATATAATACATCACCTACCTAGGTAAATGATTTGAGTGTGTGTGTGTTTGGGGGCCTTAGAATATGCCTACCTAGGTAATATTCAGGTTCATCGCGTGACAAAGTGTTCTTGCCGCTAGCATTCACACAATTTCTCCACATTGTGAGCCAAACCGAGGGAAACAGTTACTGCATCTTTCTAAAAGAAGAGCCAAAGAATCTCAGGAACCAGCAAACACATAGCACCAGCAGCCAGCTCAGGCATAAGTTGCCCATGAGGACATCTGACTGAAGCTGTAGGCCCAGCATCAGCTTCACTTCACTAGTGGTGACGCAGCATTTAGGTGTGTCCAATATTTTCACCCGGTGCATGAGTCACTTGAGCCGTACAATGTAATGAGGGTGATAAACCTCACACTTCATTTTTAATATGAGGAAGTGTATACACTTTACTTTGCCTTCTCTTCTTAGAAAAGTTTTTTTTTTCTTTTGCATGATTAATGCAATTGTCGTATCAAATTTCAGCAATTAATTTGTTATATGGTGCTTGTATAATGGTCAAAAGACCCCATTATCAGAGTCACAATATGAAGCCATGCAGAGATAGCACACTTAACCATTCAAGGTCACTAAGAGCGCCCATTATACCACACTCCTGTAAAATCTTCCATTAACCAATACTTTCTTTTTTTTCTATTCTTAAGCGGATCAAGAGCATCAAATGACTATGGATTTGACACTAACATTCATATTACTGAGATTCTTGCTGGCAACTGTTACAGCACAGCATAGCCATAAATGTTACCACAGAACACAAATAATAAATCCTCAAGTCAAGCCACTGATTACAACAGCACCGGGTCCAGAAACAAGTTCATCTCTCACACACGGCAAGTAATAGCAAACACTTAAAACATTCTGGCCTTTGCAACAATTTTTTGGTCCGACTCATGCGCACGGACCTGCTTTATCCCTAGAATGTACAGTGAAAACTAAGATCTTACCTTTGACAGCTTCACCCTTTTCCATGCAGATGGCAGCATGGTGAGAGCCTGCTAATTTCAGCACAGTGAACTGCCAATTACTGCTGAAGCTATTAAGGTCGTCAAGAGATTCCACAATTATCTCACCCTGAGCATATTGTAAAGTGAAATGCAGACTCTAGAATTCCGTAAATTCACAAAAGACAGGCTTCACATGATGAACCACACAGAAGAAAATGAATAGAGTAGGACAAAATCAAATCGGTAAGTTGTGGTATAGAGGAATTTATTCATATCTTAGGAACCAGATCAACAACACACTAGGACCATCCAAGTAAAGAAGGAAAGGCATATATTTTCCAACAGTTTTACGTTATAGTACATTCGTTCGAGTAAATTAGAAGATTATAATTGCAATTGAACAAATAGAAGATGAGTCTCAAGGCATGAAATGCAGTGCACGGCAAGCCCATAAAGAATATTTGCTATGTTGCAATTGCATTTGCTATAATCCAGACCTAAATTTTAGGTCTCAAGATAAACATGACAAAAACAGGCAATTTCAGCCGCTATACTGTAAGAAAATGCAGAAATGATTCCAGATCTGGATTGGCTGCAGAATTTGTAGATTTGGCCACAGATGCAAATCCTTGCTTGCTAAGATTTGTAAGTGAAGCATAAAGGAGAAAGCCGAAGCAGGTTGCAGGTCTGTTGAACAATTATGTTTGTACCTCATTATGTGATTCACCGGAAGGACAAGGGCCTTCTTCTCGGCTTTCCTGAATCGTGTGGAAAATCTTTTAAAGGGTAGTGCAGAGAAGTCTCTTCCCAACGCCTTCACATAAGATTCCTGAAGCAGAATTTCATATAAATGGAAGATTACAGAGAAAAGGCTACTTAAGCCTTGCGAAACTAATGTTTCATTCATAAATGCGTTTTGGTTAGGTCTTCAGCAGCAAGATAATCTGATCAGCAGAACTTGAAACAATTTCAATTTTTTTTTCTCTTTTGAGACTCACATTCACGGTGGTTTTCATGCAGTTTCTCCAAAATTCCTCACCATACATGAGATTAACGAGAAACATCAAACAGAGTATGTATTCGCTAAATATTTCCCATCTAGCAATCACTAATAATACATGGCGCAGAAAATTGCGTATCACCTTCAGGACAGAAGAAAAAGAAAATGCACCAGAAATACCACTATTTTCTCTGATTGAAGGCCACATGGCACAAAACTGATACTGAACGTGATAAAATGAGAAAAAATCAAAGCAGGTGATCATTCCAAAATGCTACAAAATGCACTTTGAGATCTCCAAATAATAAAGAGAATCCGTGCACTTTGGGAGTCCACAATTTTACAAAATGCTGATGCTGAACTCCAGGGTAACTCGAAATTTGCACTTCATGTGGAGGAAGTACCTCCTAGCAAAGGCTACGATATTGTTCTTCAATTTCCTTTGCTTCCCTTCAAGATCAACACCTATCTTCAAATAAGGAGAGCAAACTAGAGGGAATCAGTATCATTAGTGGACTATCACGGAAACTTAAGACGATGCTTGAAGAAATAGATACTTTGCGAGTATACGGGAGTACAAACCGGTGAATCAACAGTCACTCCACAAAGTATAAGAGAAAAACTTGGTGAGATATTAAATTGGAGCCGTGATGCACACTGGCATTGATCATTGTCCCACTCCTACTACCACAAAATAAACATTAAACAAGTTACTGATAACAGGTGGTCAAAATCTCCAGCCATTGTAAGTATGAACATACCTTGGGTTTTCCATGGATGTTCTTCTTAAACTTCAAGGATCTCAGATGAATTTGGCCATTAATCTGATCTAGTATAAAGAATTACCGCACAAATGCAATAATTCAGCCTATTACTAAATCAAGAAAATCAGAATCTACCAATGTGAATATCACATTAAAAGAAACTCTAGCCAGAGCAGCACATGAATAAACAATTCTCACAAACATTGAACAAGTAAGAAGAAGGTTCTTTCTCCTATAGAAACGAAAGTGAATGGGGATCCTAGGAACTTCCTCATTTAACATTGGCTTTTTTTTGGGGGGTGAAACTTGCCAAAAATATGGCTGTATACAAAATACTAAATATCAGTAAATATCTCAGCAGCCAATCCTAGGCTACGGCTATGCAGATCATAGTACATAAACTTATACATCTACTAGATTGCTACTCCAAAATGTTGATCAGATTAACTAACAGTGGTATCCTGGAGTCTCCAAAGTAATTAAATGACGCCTATGAAAGACGCTAAAAGGTCCTAAATGCTCAATCATAAGGTCATTAGGCATACCATGACTATAGTCCAACAGGAAAAAGAGTATGCCACAAACTGCACTCTCATTACTGCAGCAAATACCGACCATGTCCTGGGGTCTAACAAAGTAATCAACAATGCAAAGCGAAGGCACTAAAGAGTTTTCAACTCTATCGGGCTTAGAAGCGAAAGGTAATGAAAAGGAAGAGCGTCTCACATGCGTGAGGGAAGTTGTACCGGGACCAGAGTCGACAATGCAGTGGTGAAGTTCCTCTGTGTCCGGTGAGAGACAGCTCTTGCAGTCCACTCTCTTCCGGAATTTCTCCCCTTTTTTCACTTTTTACTTTTTACTTTTATTTTTTGAGCTGCACTTTTCTTTTATTTCCCACTATTCGAAACAGGTAGCAAGTTTGAAGTAGATCTAAATCGCTTTTTTAATCGGGTGATGTCGGGCTGATATAAGAAAAGAAATGCGTAATTAAAATTATTTTTTTGGGCGCTGAAATCGGGATTTTATTTTTGGATTTGGGACATTCTTTTGCCGTAAAAAAAAGCCAGCTTATTTAGGATTAGCAGGCTCTTCTTGAAGGGGACGCGCTAAGGTCGCGCGTGGGCGTTGACCCGGGGTGGACAACTCGCGCCACGGTGGATCATCGGGTATGGACATGGACGTGGACGTGGACATGGACATGGACGTGGACACGGGGATGGACGTGGATTAGGCTTAACAAAACATTACCTTTGTTAAGATTCCTTTAGATTGGGTCCGAGTTTATCTACTTTCACATCCTTCTTTCCAAGAACTTGTCCCTCCCATCCAAGCTTAACCGAGGATTACTTCCTAATCGCCGTATTGATTGGCATGCCCCCACATTAATACATTACGCCATAACATAAGGACGAAAAGGTGCTCTCAATCAACCCGGTCTAGGATTTTTTACTTGGCCTTTTTATTACTCTTGGATCCAGGGAATATGATCATTCATCATCCCCTTTATTATGATTAATTCTGTGTGGGCCATTGAAACTCTCTAGTATCGGTCATGCCCTGCCTTAAATGATCATCTCATTCGTCGTAGGAGGGCATTTTGGTAATCACGCGAAAATGATAATGTGTTTCTTGTACTTTCATCCGGGTGCCAAATCTTGCTATCGATGTGAAATTTTGGGAAGATCAGCCTGTTATCTCTAAAATGGACGATTCATTAATCATCCCATTGCTGACATCTGCCACAAGATAAATCATTGCCTTTCCAATCCTCAGTTTGGCTATTGGACATATTTGCTCATTTAATTTCGTGCAATATATAGAAATTCACCATGATGATATCTAAATGATTGCCATATGGTCCAATTACCATATAAAACTCAATGCCAATGTTTTTATGCAATATATAGATAGATATTCGCTGCTAGCTTTCCGTTTGTAGAGAAAAGCCAATAAAGTGGTCTGTCACATTATAGAGAAAAAGCCAAAAAAGTTGTCTGTCACATTATAGAGAAAAGCCAAAACCCTTTGTCAAATTTCAAACTTGGCGAGGAATTGGTGGTGGGGTTGCCTTTCTCACCAAATTTCGAGAACATCGAGAAAATCATATTTCAAATGATGCGTGAATAAGGAGGAGGGTGAATTTACAACTCATATCTATATATTTGGATTTCGAATATTGGCCCTACCACTATTCCTATATGTCCAGTGCCAGAAATTAAATTAATTACTAGGTTTAGAGGAATGGTGGATTTAGAACTCATATACATTTGATTTTGAATATTGGGCACACCATTGTTCGTACATAACCCATGTCAAAACCTATATAATTGCGCCGAGATAGTAAATATTCGACTTTATATCCATTCATTCTCCAAAAGAATTCACAGTATTGCACTAGAAATTTTTTTCATTTCCTAAACGAATAACTTAAACATTTGGATGGGACGTTATCGGAGTTAGTTCCGCATGCTTCATATCATGAGTTTATTTTGTGCTCGTGACTCTTTGGTTCACCAATTTAACGCGCGTGGACGTTTGAGTTTTATCTCACAACTTGAATACATTACTTTAATGAGTCCTCTATACATGTAGTATGGGCACACTTAAAGTGTTTAAGCTTTCAATTAGACTTTTTAACAAAAATTGAGTGAGTCGGTGCGCATTAATTAAACAGACAAGAAAAGAAAAGGGTGCCAAAAATCATTTATAGAGAAAACAGTCCAATCAGCTCAAAATCTCGAAATGGACATCAAAAAATTCGAATGGATTCACCACACTTATTCAATTTCCCATGAAATGGAGACAATTATTCAATTCCAAAAAGAAATTTGTGCATATCATTGTCTTTATAACCCAAAAAGAACGTATGGACAATTTTGTTTTATACTTTCCCCGAGTATATAGGTAACTGGTAAGTATTGGCAATAGCAGATTCGACCGTTTCCATCGTTATGAATGTTTCACAGTCAACGTTTCAGAGGATTCTTTGTAAAGAAGAGTGAATTAATTAATGTCATTTTTTTAAAGCAAATCGTCCAGGACTTTTCATGGCCCAAGATAAAGCTGAATTGCTTTTACTTCTTTCGAGCAAGAAGAAGTCCCTATCATTGCCGTCGGAATCAGGACTGCAGTTTCTAAGTACAGAAACAAGTAGTAACATTACCATTCTTTTTCCTCCTTTCTCTTCTATTTTTTTTTATGCCTGATGATACGGAAGATCTGTGGAGAGAGAGAGAGAGAGAGAGAGAGAGAGAGAGAGAGAGAGTGCATGGGGGTGATTCTTTCTTTTGTTTCTCGGGAACTGCAAAATGCATGGGAAACTTACCCAAGACCAGCTCATTTTCACCCCATAAAGGGTCATTGGACAAATCGTTCACTTTTTTTTTTGGATAAAAAATCGTTCACTTTAAAAGTGCATCATTTTACCACAGTATTATATTATTAAACTTTCTTTTCGATTCTCAATTTAAGCAAAACTTGTTCTCTCTCACTTTTCCTGGGAATGTCATCATAGTAATAGACACTGGGGCATTCTTTGAGGTGAACGATATTGCAAATGAAATGGTAGAATGGTTGAAATTGCTATTAAACCCTACAAAAAAAACTGAGAAAAACCCTAAAAAATCTATAAGGAGAGAGATAGAGAATCACAAGTAAGAATGATGATTTCTAAAACACACGAGAGCACGAGATTCAAATATAACATGAATTTATTGAGAAAAAATTCAAGTAAAAATGGTAGAATGATTGAAATTGGACGATGTTTGAACATTAGTTCAAAAAATCTATCAGTGTAGTTAGAACAAAGAAATTTTATGTTACCTTTTATAATGTTTTATTCAAAGCGTGAATTAATTCATGGCATTTAAAAAAAAAGAAAGGAAAAGTAGTTACTTTTTTGTGGAAAGTGGACTCTGCTAGCAAACTCCTATTTTTTGTCTTTACAATATTTCAAGAATTTTCATGGATATTGTGAATGAGCTTTAAGGGTAAATAAATCTAACAAAAACATGCAATTTAAAAACGGTGTGGAACAAAACTTTTGGGTTGAGGAAATATTACTTCTCCCTTTCAAAAGCCAGATAGGAGTACAACTCCGAGGTGTGTAAAAGCCAGATCAATCTCCTTAGCAAACAACCTAATGAGCTTTATTTTTTTTGGTTTGTCAATGGTAAAGCAAGATTACGCTTTGCAAATTTATGATAATCGACTGGTAAATACATGATAGTGGGATAATAAAGATTTTAAAATGTATCACGTACAAAGCGCGGGATTGAAAATCAGATATGATGGAAGGTTGGGATTCAAGTCATTACAAAATACTTTAATCGTTGGTACTTTCTTCTGCCGTGACCTTTGAAGAGTTTAAACGTAATTTTTTTCCTTGAATTCAAAAGATGCTAACATTTTCCCCACGGTTTTCGTAGTTTCCTAAGTATTACGACCCATAATATATTATCTCATTTACTAACTTTGAACTCTCCATTCATTGATCAATATAAGTTGAGATACTTTAATCGTCAAGGGGGTGGTGGTCGGTGTTGCCAAACCCAAGCCTTATTGAAAGACACGTTGGCCATCATCACTCTCGAGGTTCCATAATAAGGGGCGTGCGACCCGCATTATCTTCCGGCTACTTCATATAGGAACTCGACCAGACAGGTCAATTATATCTCCTTTCTTTTCTTTTTTTTATCACAAGCTGAACTGCATTTAAGAACATCCAACGTTTGTGTTATGTTCATAAAGAAACTTATCTGCCATTTTAGCCCCCTAAAAATGGTATACTAAAAGAGAAATGTTTGAGCATGAGGACGCGGAGTCATTATCTGTAGCAAACGAAAAATTATCGCAATGCATGCAACAGTATCAAAGGTCGCTCTTTTATGAGAATATATTGTTGCGCGATTGTGGAATTGTCATTAGCGAATAACTTATTTCTGTTGATTTAATTCACGACTTTGGGTGGTCCCGAAACAGCATGTTGATGATGACCACAAATGGGACCGAGTATCTTCCATTAAGTGGAGAAAAAGAGGAAAAGAGAACAAACGCATAGCCTTCCTCTCTCTTTTGACAATAAAGAACCTCA